TTTTAGTGAGAGATCCAGAGGGTTTTGTTATTTAGCATGGACCTCCATTCACCAATGGCCAGCCACGAATTCAGTGTACCAGCGTAAAATGCAGCGATGATGGATTAAACTCATGGTTATGAAATCGAATTTTTTTTTGGTTAGTATATATGAGCCATGTGTGGTTGTGTTATTGGCATCTGGGTTTGCTCTATTGTATATGTGCGTATGTATTGCTTTGTGGAAAGTCAGCGTTGGCGGGTTCGCTCCGCCGATGTTTGATGTGCGGTGACGGGCGCTGCACTGCAACGCCACTGCTACAGTCTGTAACAGCGTGTGACCCTGCTGTCTACAACAGTGTGCAGCCTTTCCCCGTTGGTTGTGACGCTGCTGTCTACAGCAGCGTGCAGCTCTTCCCCGCCGGCCGTGGGTGCCTGGGAAGCCTGGCGGCGTTTATCAAAAGAAAAAAAATAGATGATGCATAGGGTTTTAGTTTTGGTCGGTTCAATAGTTTTGGGGACGGGGGCCTTTTGTGCAATTTGTTATTTTTTGGGGCTTCTCCTGCAATTTAAAGAAGGGGTTATTTTATTTAAAAAAAGGCTTCACTGCAATTATGTGTATTCCGGGGGCTTACGTGCAATTATGTTTTAGTAAGCCCTTTTCTTGCAATTAACAATCTAGGGGCCAGTTTGTTATTTTAAAGAAAAGGACTCATGCTGTAATTTATGAATTTTGAAGCCCTCTTTACATAATTTTAATTCAGAGTCAATTTTGTAATTTTAAAATATTGAATTTAAAGTTTTAAATTGGGATTTTTAAATTTGATCCACTATGTTTCAATTTTGACCTAAAATTAAAATTATATTTAAAAACTAACGACTTTTTAATTTTCGTTGGAATATTTGAATGTCGTTATTTCTCATTTTCATGTATTGAAATTTAAGTTGCCAATTTCGTCTCATAATAACACTAAATTTCGTTTTTTGTAAGTTAATGATTATGATTATGTTGCTTGATTATTATAATTAAATTTTTCGTGGACTTCGAGTCTATTTAAGTGCTCTCATTATAAAAAATATTTTGAAATAAAAGTGGGTGGTAGCGTCAAAGTGGCACACTTATTTTTATTTATTTGATTTTCTTGAAAAAAATTGAATTTATCGTCGTAATTTTGAATTGCTACATATAATATCTTGCCCAAAGGTGTTATTATATGTGATATTTTTTCTGGAAATTGACGTAAAACAGTTAACGATTTTAATTGG